GTTGTGTTGTTGGGGTGTGTGTGTGATAAGGTGAAGAAGGGGGAAATGGTTGGGGTTTTGGTGGTGTGGGAGATAGGTGGGTTGTGGAGAGGAGGGGGTGCGGGGGGGGGAGACGGGAGCAGACTGGAGTCCGCTGCTTGTAATTCTACGGTGATAAGAGTATCATGTTGAGAGAACCTTTACGGAGCCCCCTATTTATCTTAGCAACACCCCCCCACCCCCTTACTGTAGAATTTAACTATATTTTGAAGGATGATTAATAAGGGTTTAAAGATATTTAATAGCCTTCAAAAGATAGTCAAAAGACGTGAAAAGATAGTTAAGAGGCCTTGAAAGATAGTTAAAAGGGCTCAAAAGATAGTTCAAGGACCTTAAAAGATAGTTTAAAGGCCTTTTGTTATATTAAAGGCAGGGTGAGTAAATACGTATGGAGGGGGACGCTGGTAAGACAAATAGGGGGCTCCGTAAAGGTTCTCTCTAAGAGTATCCAATTTGCGTCTTCTGGGGGACACAATAGTTTATGAGAACCTGCATCTTCCGAGCCAGCTGCTCCAGCGTACCCTCGTCGGTGAGAATTGCTGCCAGGGACGAAGAAAGGGAGAATAATTACGAGGAGAGCCACAGTATTGGTGCATCATGTACCCAGACCAAAGAGAGCGGTGCACATCATGCGAAAGCCTTTCCGTGTTGGGCAGTCAATGCCGGCTCCGTTCGAGCCAACGCCGCCAGCTGCTTTTCTCAAGCTCTTCCTGCTCACTATCAAACTCGCGAAGCAAATCCATAATAGCTTGCCCATGCTTCCCCATCTTGATCACTGCTCTAAGGGTCCCGCCAGTAACATCAAGTGTGTCAAAATTTTGGTGATCCAGAAGCTGCCGTAATATTAGCTCCCCATGCTTGACATTGCTAGCAGCTGATATCACCATTTCCTTTGTGACCGTAAACTTCCAATCCAGCACGAAACGACTGAGCAACATTCTTACGACTGTGCTCCCACTATTTTTATTGTTGGCACCCGCCAGAAGTAGGTCTTCCAGATCGCCAAGTTTCAGCCTTATGGCATTGTGTCCTTCCGAGATTGCTTCCAACATGAGATCCCCTTGCTCCTCGCGCGCCGCTGCTCTAAGCAGCAAGGCTTTGTCGGGCTCGGGAAAACGTGCCTCTAACCCACAAGAGTATATATACCACATCATATCGCCCCCTAGAGGATGGCACGTCACCCTATTCATCAAATACATCTTTATTTCGAGTCCGTCACCCTTTATCGTGAGTATGATGTCCATGAGGCCTCGGATGGCTCGGTAGTCTTCAAGGAAATCGTTGATATCCGGAATACGTGGGCCGAAAGATTGTGAAACGCGATTCTGGTGCTCTTTTGGGCTCCTTGCCAATTCGCAGAACATGATTTGGTGTACCAAACCATCCTCTTCCAACGAACAAGCGTGATGGTTTTCCTGGTCCCCCTTTTGGTGTTTCAGCTCAATCACTTCAAGTTCTCTCCTATACAGCTTGGCCAAGCTTTCACGGTCCGTCATCAGGTTGGGGTAGAGGCCTTCAACGAGCAGCCTCTTTTCCATGAGTCGTCGAAGCTTTGCTCTGACCTCCCTCAACTTCCTCACGTCCCAGTCATACAAAGCAGTCCCGATCTTTACGTTCACCGTCTTCCGGTCGTTGCGCCCGTACTCTTTCTCAGCTAGCTTAACCCCATCGCTAAGGAGCCCCTGTATCTTCACATGATTGGGAGAATCTACGGGCCTTGCCAGTGTTGCTGGCTTCTCCAGGAATACGGAAGCCATGTCAAACCCCCTCCTCAACCGGTCATCGAGCCCGTGATCAAGATCATGACGTGCAACTAGAACGTCGAACTTGGCATCGGGGCCTGATGCGCCATGTGCCCAGTCCCAAACAAGAAGAAAGCTCTTTGTCATCCAAACAGCCGGCTTCTCATTGGGTAATGGTCGTCTAAGAGAAACCGTGACCATGACAACTGAGAAGTAATCCACGTGTGGTCTAATGATCATCGGGCTCCCGGCATTCTTCAGCTTGCACACAATATCGCCCGGCTGGACAGCGTTTACTGATGGCGGGAGGGACGTCGCCTCACTAGGCCATTCAGGCGACCACCCATAATCGGCCAGCGTGTAGTCAATGACCACGTTTTGCCGCCCATCCTGGGCGACTTGGTTCACCTCCGCTACCCTGCCCAAAAGAGCCCCTTTCCCCCTGATCACGGCCATTTCTGTATTTTTCCATGTCCTGATCAGCTGAGTACTACCCAGTATGCGTCGAGAGAGTTGGCGCAACACCTCGTCCCATGAAATACTGTAATCCGGTGTGAAGCTTGGAATTGCCATCCCATACAGCGCGAATAATTTGTCATGAAGGACGGTGGCTTCGCGGTTGTGATACATATCCACTAACTCGCCGATGGGGCGGCCCTGGAGTGGCGGAAAGGCGCCCTCACCGACCGTTTTTTGACGAAATACTGCCCCTTTCATGAGGTGCGTCAACGACTGTACAAGACTGTGCAATGGGGGCAAGGTATGGCAGATGCGAGGCAGCAGCTTGGAGTCGAGAGCGACGGCGAAAGCATGGCCATCAATCTCAACTGATCCGCATTTGATGACAATACTTCGTGCGGCCGCGACCTCTTGCAGAATCTAATTTGTTGGTAAGAGAGAACCGTTAGTGACACACGTGCCTGGATATGATGCCCGAAGAGCCCATTGTTCACCTACCCAAATGCGCCTGAACCACGACCGCCGAAGCAATGAAATGACCTCTCGGTTGGGTGTATCACCATCCTTTGTATCATCGGATGCAAGCTGACGGAGCTGCTCGAGTGCTTTGTCCCCATCGTCTTCTGCTTCACCGAGCCAGACTATAACCCGTGCCGCCTTGCTGTAGATCTGGGCCATGAGTTGAATTTGCTTCGTTTTCTCGGGGATATCCCGCTGGTTGATACAGATGGCATCAATCCAGAGAATGCGCTGTAGCTGTGCATTTCGAAGGTGCAGCAGGGCGGCATGGAGGTTTGGTGTCACAGCAAGCTCCTTTCCGTCAACGACAACGTGGTGCTGGTTTTCGCCCCCTTGCCCCCAGGCGTAAGACAGAGCTTCGTACAAGTGTGTTCCGCCAGGGATCGAGAGATTGTAGTCAAGGACTCGGCAGTGAATCGGAGACGTCGGGTCCTCGGCTGGGAGCAAGCACAGAAGACGTATACTGGTTGGCGCCGCAAGAGGCAGATACTGGTAGATGTCGGAAGCCATGAGTGATGGTTTCGCCGTGGTTGAAATTATGGGTTGCAGAATGGTGAAATTCTCTAGGTATATTCAAGCTGGAAGGGGCGGTCTCAGGTATGCCTTCCACCTACAATAGCTTTCCCGCCATTGGGTTGAAGGCAGGAGCCAATCGATTCCAGCGGGAAGGAAGCAACGTGCTGAGGGGATTTGTGCCGCTCGTGCCTACCCTCGCTGTGGACAAGATGATGGAAATTGCGACGCAAGCTCAAGGCTTGGAAGGATAACAGTAAAGGCCTATCAATCATCGTTGAGGAGCTCAGTCCAAGTAACGGTCTGCATTCTTCTGTCCACCCATGACATACTACCATACCAGTAACCCAGCAAGTCAGCAACATATCCTCAAAAAACGAGGATAACTTCTTAGTCTACCTATCGTAAAGGTAAAGCCTCATTCAGGCCCCCATCAGCCCTCCAGTCAGCCTACCTCCCCTCACCACTCAACCCTCACCTCTCCGTGGATGGCGTGTGAATGCACTTGCAGCACAAACAGTGCGGCCCTTTTTTTTTTCTTTCTCACGCTTCACAAGTGTCACCGACCCAGACCCGACCTGTTTTACACACAATACCACCCGAACGTCCCGACTTGCCAATGATACACAGCAGCAGCTCATGGTCGACCCCAAAAGGTGGGGAGTTGGGTTTAATAAGTTGGTGTGTGCCTTTTTTTTTTTGGTAAGCCTTGTGGAACTTGAGGATGCCCAAAAGATGGATACAAATGACTAGAACGAACAAGCACCAGACGTCAACAACTGTCAAGACCAAAAAACCGGTACCAGGGATAGCGGCCCGTTTTTTTGTGAGAATAGACTGAAAAAGGGCGCTTGCTGTAAGGGAGTGGTCCAAAAATGAGAACCTCTATGGCTGCTGCCGAGTGCAATCCAAAGTCTGGGGCTTAATCACTTCGGCCCCGAGACAAGTACCTACACATGTCAAATGGGCAAGCTTGATAGGAGATGGACCACGCACACATCAGGCTGAATTATGACTATTGAAAAGACAAGCTTGATAAGAAGGTAGCCGTGTGGCAACAATGAGATAGATAAAAATGGTAGTGCGGGCTGCGTGGACGGGTCTCGGACGGTGGCTCAGCATGGACGCCCATTCAATTGTTGTGAGGTTACCAGTTTCATGGTTTAGCAGGGCAGCTCTTCTCCCAAGAACCACCGAGTTGGAAAAAGTGTGTGTTGCGTACGCAGGTGTGTGGAGTGGACGAGGAGGTAATATGGATGCATCCTCTTCCGTTTTATTTCTAGTGTAGCGAGAAAAGAGACGTGGTGGAGGGGCACATACTACATCTCTTTCTCTCTCTCTCTCTCAATATAGTACCTACGTACCTGCAGGCAGATAGAAAGGATCAGCTAAAAGCTGTCAATGCGGGTGCGCGGGGAAGCAGGTTGGTTGCTTTGGGCCGATGCAATGCCACTATAGCTGACTGACTGTCTGTCTGTCTGTCTGTCTGCCTGGCAACCACTGACTGGCATTGACTTCGTCATCGGCGATCAGACTACTGTACAGGCTCGACAGGCTGACAAGCACGAGTAAGACGTCAAAGAGGCACCGTGGGCATGGGCATGGAACCGTCCAATTCTTTGTTGGCTCGACGCCACGAAACGATGACCAAAGAAACTGGAGAGAGGCGTGGGGTCTGGAGAGAGGCGGAGACGGCGGCGGACCGGCCTGGTGGTTGAGTGCGGAGCGGGTGTGTGCGGGTCAGCAAGAGACAAAGCCAAAACGCTGGGCCCGGGAGTTTGAATCTCGGGGATCCCAGAACTGAGGTTGGCTGGGAATGTTGGTGTTTCTTTGTTTGATGGGAGAGCATTCCAATGCTTTTCTTTTACTTTGTCACATCCCAACACGGGAAGAGCCGTTTCTTGTCTTGTCTTGTCTTCTCTTGTCTTCTCTCGTCTTTGTCTTGTCTCGCTCATTCAGACTTCAACTGACCAATGGCGGACGACCCAAAGACGACAAGATGGTGGCCCGCACGGTCCAACGTGTCCTCTGCCGTGGGACTGGTGACTGCCCGGCGACTGGCACAGTCACTGTCAGACTGATGATGGTCAAGGCGGAGATCAAAACGGACGATGCTTGGCATGGGTCGTTCAAAGGTGCTTTGCACGCCATCTGGTGCTAACGATGGATAGCGGCTTGGCATCTCCGAGCTAAGAGCTAGCAACCGGCCTGTTTTCCACACCACGTTTCCCTGCAGCATGGCACAGCCCGGTCGCTGAAGAAGAAGCTTGAAAGAAGACATGGAAACTCAATTCATTCTCGAATGACAGGCTGAATACCGATATCTCAGAATTCCGGCCGTTCTTCGGCATCAAAAGCACCCCCAAACCGGGTGTGTTGACTCCCAACAAGGGACGAGGGAGGGACGGCACCTGGCCAAAACGTGCCAATGGGGCCCGAGGTCGCCTTTGGCGAAATTGTGGCTGGCGGCAGCAGCAGGAGAAATGCAGCCGTAACAGCGCCCAGCGACAGCGGCAGCAACAGGCGTTACCTTACCGAGTGTTGGTGTTGGCGTGAACCACAACCATGTTTTTGATCCACGGTTTTGGCCCGTTTTGAATCTTGATTGATACCTTACCGGTTTGCGGAAAAAAGTGACAATATCTGGGAAAGAAGAAACGTTTGCGGTACTCGAGGAGATCATGTCCGTTGCTTCTCACCTGTACGTGTAAAGCTGCGGCAGAACCTGAACCCTGGATCACCAACCCCCAAAAGGATTGGTCAGATGGTCGGGTGCAGGTGGTCCGTGGGGCCGAGAAACGGCAGCACGGCATTAAACCCAAAGGGGAAACTTTGGGAGCGACCAACCCATGTCTCGAATGATGCACATCGCACTGTGTCGAGTCCCGGTGTCCCCCCCGCGGCCTGGCCACCCGCTCCCGCTGGGTCGGGAAGGACTCTCCGCTGGGGAAAACTCGCTGAACTCTGGAGCCCTCCAGACGGGCGGTAGCACACAGTGTGAAGAGACCGGCACCCACTTCAGATGCAACCTCCCATGCACGAGCCGTCACATTTGCGCCCGCTCATTTCATTTCCTGTCCCTGCCTCGCTCCCCTTCGTTCCAGGCCAGGGCCGCCGAACCGATCCTCTTTTCTCTGCTCTCTCCTCTTTGCCTGTCTTCCCCTTCCTGCACTCTGTTTGACTTTTGACTGTCACCTGTCAACCTGTCACCCTCTCGACAGCGACAGCGACAGCATCTTTGAGATCCAGCGTCGCGGCCAACTCTCTAGACCGACGGCGGCAGCACCAGTCTGTTTTCTGGCTGAGACGAACCAGTCGTGGACCGGCCAATAAACATCGGACCCGACCGTGCTTTTCCAGCTTACCGTCACTCTGGTTTCTGGAACCTCTGGCCGACCCCCTTCTTCCGTCTCCATCTCGCCCACTCAACAACCACCCTCCCGACTCCTGCTTTCTCGCAACACCATCGGCGCATCGCACCCAGACTCTAATGCTGCAAGCGGTTGTCGGTTTGATTTGATTCAATTCGGCATTGGGATTTTTGTGTGGATTTCGGTATCGATTGCGAACTGTTTGTTTGATTGATTGATTGATTGATTGATTGATTGATTGATTGATTGATTGACGACCGTTCGAGTCTTGTTTATCTGTTGCTGGAGCCACAAAGGTACGATGAGCATCGGACTGACAGCTGCAGCCAGTCACTCGCGCATTTTTTCTTGAAAGTTTGGCCATCTGGCGACGCGCATGAGTTGATGCTGATACGGTGCGCTTGTACAGTTGTTTTTTGGCATTTGAGGGAGGTCTGTCTGTTTGATTGATATTGTTAGCTTGTCGCCTCGACAAGTGTGTCTTGTTGGATTTTTGAAGGAAAGGAATTTGGACGAGAGATCGGACACGATGGGCGCACAAGTTGTTCCATCAGCCTCTCACGGCATGCCGGCCCTGGAAGTCGCTGAGCCAAATCCTCCGCATATGATTAGCCGCGCAACCAAGGGAGGACGCACCCTGTGGTACTGCTTGAAGGTCATCCAGCAACCCGAGCGCGCGAGAGCATGCGGTTCAGGCCCAAAGTGTGAGTGTGGCTCCTTGATCGTTCTTGTATGTGAACCAGCCAGTTTGCTAACATGGCAATAGCATCGGCTGACCGTCGTCCCGTCGACCCGCCTCCCGTTGTGGAGCTGCGCGTCTATGAGGGCCATACTTGGGAGGCGGCCCAGGATAAGGATATCACTTTCCTGTACAACGCCAACTTCTTTCTCTACGCCACTCTCGAACATGCCAGAGTCATGGCCCACGGTCGCGTTCAGACCCCAGCAGCCAACACGCCGCCCGTCTTGACCGGTATGCCCGTGTCTGGAATGGCCTATCTGGACCGTCCTACCGAAGCCGGCTATTTCTTGTTCCCTGATCTGTCTGTCAGGCACGAGGGCCGTTATAGACTGACGTTCAGCCTCTACGAGGAGACCAAGGAGGACAAGGATAAGGACCCGCAGAGCGACAGCTCTGCCTCCGAGGGCCAGAGCTCCAGCCCGGCCCAGGGAGGCTCCTTTGACTTCAGGATGGAGGTCAAGTCGCAGGACTTCGTCGTCTACAGCGCCAAGAAGTTCCCTGGTTTGGCTGAAAGCACCGCTCTCAGCCGCATGGTTGCCGAGCAAGGCTGCCGTGTCCGCATTCGCCGCGATGTTAGGATGAGACGGCGTGATGGAAAGGGTGCTGGTGACTATGACAATGGCGATGAGGAGTATGCACGAAGACGTTCTCGAAGAACCGCGACGCCCGTGGCCGATGCTCGGCCTGACTTCAACCGCAACCGATCGATGAGCGGAAGCGCGGAACGGGCTCCCTACCCTGCCGACTCGCAGCGCCGCCCATCGATGGCCGACTACCCTTCGCAATTTCCTGGACAGCCAGGCTCCCAGGGAGGGCACCTTCAGTTCCTCAACGGAGGCCCCAACGGCCAGTATCCTTCTCAGCCACCACCTCAAAACTTTGCTCAACCTCCCTCGGTTCCCGCTTCACCCGTGTACCCACCAAGCCAGGCGGCGCCGTACCCATCGCAGACTTCGTACCAGGCTGCTCCTCCACCACCGCCCCCTTCGTACAGACAGCGCGAGCGAACGCCTTCGCAGTCGTCGTATGCGCCTCTCAACCCGGCTCCTCGTCGCGACAGCGCGCAACCACAGGGCTTCAGGTCATCCTCTGGCCACGTCACCCTCCCTCCCTTGGTTCCGGCTTTCCCGCAGCACAACTCGCACCGCATGCCGCCGCCCAAGATGCCGTCCCTGCCGCCTATTCAGGTCGACGGACCCCAAACCAGCACGCTTCCCGGCGCCAGCCAGCTCCCGTTGCCGAGTCCGACGGCGCTTCAGGCCGCTCGTCCCAACTTCCCGGCGCCGGCTGCCGGCCCCGTTGACCGCATCATGACAACGCAGTACGCCGGCTCGAAGCGGGCCCACGACCAGTCCTTCAAGACTGCTGACCAACCTAGGCGATTCCAGGATGGTGCCCGCGACGAGGGTTCCTCTGAGGATCCAGATGCCGGGCTTGGGCCCATGATCTACTCGAGAGCGGCTGGATTTTATACTACGGTTCCGGCCGACCAATGTCCCGAGTAGCAGCCAAGATACCCCTTGCTTGATGGCTTGATGGTTTGATGCGTACTGTTGGGCTAGGTGTTTGGAGTTTTGTTGCCCAGGCGGGTCATCTTCTTTGTGATTTTTAGTGTATATACGGGCGACTATATGGGATGGGCATCTGAAACCCAGGCTTTCAACGAGCCATGGACTGGACTGCTCGAGGGACACAGACGTTCTTTACGTTCCCTTTGACTCTTTTTTTCTTCTTCCCGTTGCTTCTTTATACCTGTTGGAACGCACATAGCACGCGGCGACACACATACGTACGACCTTCATTTTCTCTGTTTTCCTTTGGCACTCTTCATTTAGAGCGACTACTGGGAGGTTTTGTTGTGGGTGGGTGGGTGGGTTGGGGAGGCGACAAAAAGTTGAAGCTGGTTGCAAAGGTTCAGATTGTGATTTCCTTTTTTGGCTGGGAGTGTGGACTTATACATCTTATATGCAGGGAGGCCTTGGATTCGGCCAGCAGATATTTTCTTTTTTTTGAAATTTGGGAATCGCGATATGTGAACAGTGTTTGAATATCAATTTTTATGCGCGTCTTCCTCTCTCTCTCTCTCTCTCTCTCTCTCTCTCTCTCCCTACCGTGACCGTGTTTGTAAATGCGTCTTTTTCACGTGTTGCTCGTGATACGGCGTGGTAAAAAGGTGGTTGAGGTCACGCTCGAGGAGGATGCTCATTTGGAACAACCAAGGCAAGGGAGGCTGGTGATTGGCTGAATTGTGGGGTCGGGGTCTGTGCCATGCAGGGGTCCCGTTGTCAAGCCCGTTGCCGGGTCGCGTTTTCTTGCTTTTGGCTGCGAGAGCTTGCTGCAGGTCCAATGGAGGTGCTGCCGCTACTGCTCTGTACTGCTTGCTGCTGCTGCTGCTGCTGCTTCTTCTTGCTCCAAAATAACAAGCTTCGCCGTCCTCAGTTCTCGCTTTTTTGTTTTTTTGTTGTTGTTGGTCTCTCTGTCAAACAAGCTGCATCGTCGGAGAGAGAGAAAGAATATTTTATTACTTCTACCTCGTGGTTTTGGCGCGATTGTGGAGTGTTACCGACTACTTGGGAGTCGGGAGAGAGAGAGAAAGTAAACAAAACCGTTGTCCTTTTTTTTCTTTCTTTCCCCCCGACCCCCCGATTTTTATAACCCGCTGCCTTGCATCGTTTCGCGCGCTCTCTCTCTCCACCTACTTCACCGCATATCCATCCACGCGCGCCACGACAAAACCGAACGATTTCGCATTGCGCCCTCTCCGCCACGGTTTTTACGGGGCCTCACCCTTTTTTATCCAACATTATCCACTCACCTTGTTTTCCAGCCACGGTGTTTTAGTGGGTTTATGTACTAGTTTTCAGGGGGGGAGGGGAACGAGCTGTCGAACGCAAGACACAATGGCGATTGCCTCTTTGCAACAGCCAACACAGGCGGAGATGCCACCACCACCACCACCACCACCTGGTTTATCGCTGTGGCCGCAATTAGAACAGCAACAACAACAGCAATCGCAACAATCGCACACCCCCCGACAACCATCCTTCGCCGAACGCAAATCCCACCAACAACACCAACAACAACAACAACAACAACAACAACAACACGCCCGCCGGGGGTCCTCTCCCGAAAAGGGACAGTCGAGGTTTCTGGAAGGGAGCATGAACGATCGCGTCAGCGCGGTGCCCCCGCCGGAATTCATCACTGGGAATAAAACCGAAGAGGAGATACGGGAGTGGGAGAGGCAGTTTTATTTTCCGTCGTCCTCTTCTTCGACTTATCACGGGGGAGGAGTGACAATGTCCACTCCTGCGAGCCCGACAATGTCGGGGTTTGGTGGGCATCCGTTGATGAGGCCGAGGAGCAGTTTGCAGGTTTGGGGTGGCGGGTATAACGGACAGGTGCAACAGAAAAAGAGCAGCGGTTTTTTGGCGCCGCTTTGGGATGGCGTGAGGGAGAAGCTGAGGGGGAGTAGGAGTTCGGGGAGTATGGAGGGGGTGATGATGCAGGGGCAGGGGCAGGGGCGGGGGCATGGGGAGAGGGCGAAGGTGGTGACCAAGGCAGAACAATCACAACAACCACAACAGCAACAGCAAAAGAAGGAGGCGTCGTCGTCCAGGCCGGCGAGCCCGGTGAAGCCGCCGAGTATTGTTACTGGCGCGGCGAACGGGACAAGTTATCCTTCTAGAGAGGAGGTGCTGGCGAGTTACAAGAGTTTGCAGGCTTCGGGGTTTTTCAGTGCGCATGCTATCAAGGGGACTAGACATCCCCTTCGCAACGCTGCCAGCGCGCCGATGACGAGGACGACGACGGAGATGCAGGTTACGGGAATGATGTCGCCTTCTGGACCGTCGAGCCCGACGAGTAGTTTGTATGTCAATGGGGATAGGAGGTCGTTCGCGGATAGGTTGGCTGCCGTGAACAGTCAGCAGCAGCTGCGACCTGCGCCTTCGATTGCGAGCTTTCGGAGTCCGGCGGCGCCAACGAGGGCGCCTCCGCCGCCACCGCCGGAGGAGGAGAATTCGGAGGATGCGAGTCCGAGTCGGGGGACCAAGAGGCCGAGTCAGGACATTCACGGGGAGCAGGAGACTGCGACTAGGAAGCTGGTGAAGAAGCTGAGGAGGTCGAACAGTCGGACGTCGACCAAGACGAACTTTACGACGCAGACAGCGAATTTTTACGGGGGTCATCATCATCATCACCATCACAAGTCGAGGCCGTCGACCTCGTCGGCGATGTCGGGGTTTAGTTTGTTTGGGGGGGCGTCGCTTTATACCACGACGAGCACGGTCGTGGACCCGGAGCAGCAGACGCCGACTCAAAGCCCGAGCAAATCGGCGAAGCTGAGGTCCAAGATGAGTTTTGGGAATTTGGTCTCGGGGAAGCTGACGAAGGAGAAGAAGGAAAAGAACAAGGAGAGGACGAGTTTTCTTGGTGGGTTGAGGAGGAAGACGAAGGGCCCGAAGACGCCGCCGGCGGAACAGCAGCAGCAACAGCAGCAGAGTGTTCAGAGGGAGGAGGATGTCGATATGGGGATCAACATTCCGGCGCAGGTCGCGCAGAGTATGGTGCAACCTAGCCGTTATGACGATGACGATGATGAGATGATGCTTGATGCGCCCTATGTCACGCCTCACCCGACTCACTATCACGTTTCCAACCCGCACCCGCACCCGCACCCGCACCCTCACCCTCACCATCATGTCCTGCATCAGAGGGGTAACAGCCTGCCGTTGGCGACTCTGACCGAATCTTCCCCTTCGAGAAGAAACATCACCCCGCCTACCTCGGCGTTTTACACCTCGCATGGGCACCAGCCACGGATCAGGAGGAGCTTGGAGATGGAGCTGGAGAATGAGGTTGTTATGCCAGATGCGAATAGGGGGATTCCAAAGGTGCCCAAGATTCCGAGGACGTACTACACGGGCAAGGCGGTGGTGGTGGACATTGACGAGGAGAGGAGGGTGAAGAGGGAGAGTTTGCAGGTTTTGATGGGGAAGCAGAGGAAGCATAGGGATAGCGGGATGAGCGGGTTTTCTTGGGGGAGCGGGGGGAGGAGTTTTAGCGGTGTCAGTGGGGGGAGTGGGATGAGCGGGAGCGGGCAGGAGAACAGGGGGGAGGTGTATGTTCATCCTAGTCAGAGCGGGTGGTGAACGGCGGCTGTGTCTGATGTGGAAGAGTCAAGGGTTGGAAAGCAACAAGCAACACCGAAGAAGGGGAGGAGCTGGGAGTGTGTTTGGAATAAGGAAAAATATGTTGGACTCGACTGTTTGTTGGGATATATGGGTGGGAATGTTTGGCGTACATGTGTCAAAAGATTGTCTATATGGGGTACCCCCTGGGTTATTTGGCGTTATCATCTCTTCGCCAACAGTTTTTGGGGAGTTGGAGTTGTCGGTTTCGGATACCTCTCGAGTTATCTTATTTCGGCGGTGTTGGGTCATCTTTTTTTGTTTTTGCTTCCATCTCTGTTGGGAAAGAAAAGCAAAAAAGGGGATCAAAGTTTTTATCAGGTGTTTGTTTTTATTATCCTTGGAGGGAGGAGGATATGTCTTGCCTGTTGCAAGGTTGTTTGTCTCGTTTGGCCTTTTGTTCGGATAGTTTCCTTTCTTTTTTCTTTTCCCTGTTTTTCCTTTTTTTGTTTTCTCCTTTTTTCTGTCGGGACATGGCGGTACTCACTTGTCACCTCTCTCATGGACCTATTGGGCCCTTCCCCTTAGCGGTTGGGTAGCTTTTAGGTTTGTGTTGGGTTCGGTGTGTGGTATCCGACTGGTTTGTGTACAGGAAGGGGGTTGAGAGTAATGACGACTATTTTATGACCAAACCAAAGGAGGAGGGAAGAAGAAAGGCGGGGGGATGTTTGTGTGTTGTTTGTTTTATGACCAAATCTTATGACCAAATGTTATGAATAGTTTTTCTTTTTTTCCTGTTAGCTTAGTTTTTCTTGTCTTGTTTACATAAACAGTACTTTCAGGATTCAGGAGTCGACAGAAACAGACAGAGAAAGAGAGATGTTGAGTAGTGTACATGAGATTGATGGGAAATAAGGATGTGATTGTATCAATGGTGAGGTGTGATTGGGTGTGAGCGAAGTCAGAGAGAGAGGGTGATCAGATGTTCGGTTTACATGGGGCTTCTTATTCTAGACTCGGAAGACACCTCAGCCCACTCGACCACCACGAGACTAGCAACGACTCCCTCGCCAATCTCCCTCTCCTCCGTTGCCCCTCCTACCCCAGACAGCAAGAGTCTGCATCGCCAAAATTGCCAACCCAAACAACCCACATAAAAACAGTGAATTGTCCAGATTTTCCACCATTGGTATCTCGTCGCTGTTCCTCGTTCGCCATCCGCATCAACCCCCTTTTCCTTCTGCCTCTCTCCTTCCATTCAGTTCCCCATACCTCCTCTGTGGCCCAGTCATCCACCGGAAAACCCCCCCCCTCTTGCCCCTTTCCACCCACCCCACCTTCTCCCAGTCTTCTTCCAAAAAACTTGAGCCCTTCACTACCCTTAACCCCCTGCATCGCAACAAGGGCCGTGGAGGGGGTGGGAGAGGGGGTAGAGGATTGAGGGTGGTGAGGATGGCGAAGGTTGATAAAAAGTGTTGGTGTGGGGAGAGGAACTTGGCGAGGGAGAGGAGATCCACGACGGCGGTATAATCCGACTTCAACTAGTCGTTCCTCGATCAGTTCTTCCGTTTTTCAGCATTCAGTCCATCGAGATAAAGTCATCAACATCAGCAAATACGGCATGTTGATGGATTAGCTTGGCAAGGAACCTAAAACCCGCCATCTCGATGTCGTTGGCACAGCCATTACTGCGAGTGATGGGACTCTTCTCGGGGGAATGCAAAGCAAGAACCCAAACACCGTTATGTCACGTTCGCTTTCCCACCAACTTTTCAGGTCGATTTCGTGAGGCGAACCAGCATCAGTGTCACCCAAAACCTCGACCTCAAACTCATTATTTTTTCCTCAACCTAAACACCAGCAATGAACATGCCCCAAAATCAAAAAAAAAACCTACAAAAGTCCCATTCCATCATATCTACGCCCTCCCTCTCCCACCCTTCCTCACACCACCAAACCCACCCGGACCCTTCTGCTTATCCTGCCCCAACCCCCTCCGTCCAGCAGCAATCCCTCCCCGTCCACCACGTCCACCCCCCCTTCCACCACCTCTCCCACCTCTACCCCGATCACCACCTCTCCCTCTATCCCCCCCTCTCCCCCTCTGATTCCCCGGCCTCTCCCTAATGGCCTTGGCAGCCCCCTCATCAATATCCATCCCATCATCACTATCATCCCCCTCCTCATTCTTCCTCCCCCTCTTCCACTTCAACTTACCCCTCATACCCCTAATCGGCACATCCTTGCCCCTCAGCGCAGCCACGTACGCACCAACTCCACTCTCTTCCTCATTACCACCACCACCCATATCAACATCCATCCCCTCACCCTCCTCCTCCTGCCCCAAAATCAACTTCCCATCCATATCCCTCTTCACCTTCTTCTTCTCCCTTGCCTTCTGCTTCATCGGCTTCGTCGAAGAAATATTCGCCAGCGCGTTACGATCCAGCAGATCCAACGGCTCATCCTCATCCTCCAAAATATACGCGCTCCCCCCCTTGTTCTTCCCACCCTTCTGTTTCCTCCCCGTCATCTCCACATCCGAATCATCACTCTGCTCACCCTCCGACTCGCTGCTATACAGCGCTTGGTCATACTCGCTCTCAAACCTGTTCTTCCTCCTCCCATCATCCTCCCCATCGCTCTCCTCCGCGTTCTTGGCAGCGTCCTTTCTCCTCTTGCTGCGCTCCTTGGTCTTGCGGATGTTGGTGATAAGCTTCTTGTCGTCCTCGGGGCAGTACCTCATGACCACATCCACCCCAAACCGACGAATCATTCTCTCGATGATGTGCTTGACCTTGGCGCGGAAGTGGCCCTTGTGCTCGTGGCTCCAGACCATCAGGTTGGGGAGGAGAGTCTCCAGACGGGGGAGCATCATCTCGGTGGGCAAGCTGAGGATGCACACCTTGACGAAGCCAAGCACGGACTTGACAATCTCGCGGTTGTTGGAGGTGAGAAAGAGATCCATCGTCTGGACCAAGTCGGACATGGTCGCTTCGCTAACGGTCTCACGGAACTCGTAGAGGATGCGGGTGATGGCGGTGATGGAGGCGGAAATCATGTGGGGGGTGCTACCGGCAAGACCGGCGCTGACCATGGTGAAGAATTCCTCAACGGAGGCCGTAGCGGCAAGGGCGTCCTTGGGCATGTGGGGGACCTTGCTGTTGTCAATGACAGCACCGTGAGAGTTGACCATACGTTGGCCCATAAGAACCAAGAGGTCAAAAGCAATGGTGCGGGCCTTCTCGTTCTGCTCCTTGCAGCTGATGACAACTTCGGAAAGCACCGAGGGGATGAAGTGAAGCTGGGTGTCAGGAACGAAGGGAAGCATGGCAGCAATAGCAGCAAGACGCTCTCTTCTGGCCGGGGCCGACACCTTCTCAGCGCTGGACAGGATAAGAGCCTGGAGCTCTTCGTTTCTCTGAGTAAGGGCAGCACGGCCAATCTCGGCATCAGCCAGGCGTGGGATGAGCTTGTAGGCCTTCTTCTGCAGTTGAGGGTCGTCATCCTTGAAGACAACAAGGGCAGCAATTCTGAAAAGGGCCTCGAAGCTTTCTCTGGGGAGGTAGATGGACATGGTAACAACGAGATCCATCAGGGTGTGGGCGGTAGAGGGCATCTGCTCGCCCCTCTGCTGCTTCTGCTCCTTGGGCTCAGGGGCCTGCTGGAGAGCCTCGGCAAGCTTGGTGCAAACAAGATCGAAAGTCTCGGTCAGGCGGGCAGCAGGGATAATGCTGAGGTAGGCGTTGATAGTCTGAAGAACAGGGCCACGCTTCTGAGGAAGAGTGGTGCTGTAAACGTTGAAGAGAACGGCGAGGAAGTCAGCGGCAAACGTGGTACCAAGGTACCCCAAGTTCTTGGCCGCAGTCTCCTTGCTGACTCTGCTCTCAAGAGCAGGATCGGCTTCCTCGGCCGAGACAACAGCCTGGTTGGACTCGACGAGAGCCTTGAGCGAGCGGCAGACGTCGAGGCGCAACTCAACCTGTTCGTAAAGAATCGTAGTAAGCGTCTCCGCGAAAGTCTTGTCGAAAGCCTCAGTCAGATCCAGGGGCAAGTCGCAGTAGCCGGGGAGGATAGACCATATTTGTTGAACAACAGTCTCGAAAATCTTGATCTCCATAGTCTTGGGCGCAGCACCGTGGTCCAACACGCGCTGGAACATGGCGGCGCTCACGGGCACAAGTTCGTTCTTGAAGTGCGCCAGGTTGGTGTTGGATGTGTAGTCGCGCAGAAGCGGCAGCAGCCAAGCTCTGCCTGGCTGGCCTCTCGCCGGTCTGACAAGATTCAGGGGGAGGACCTTCAAGACAGACTCAGGACCCATGGCCCGGATGGCCTTCCCAAGAACCTCATCCGCCTCCTGCTTGCCAGTAAACGAGTCGTTTCCGCGCATCTCACCAATGCTCTGAGTGATCTTGAGCATGTAAGGATCCGCCCTCCACCTCAACGAGTCAAACATGGCACCGAGAACGTTGAACGTCTCGAGCCAAGCAGCCTGATACTTGAGCGTCAAAAGGCTCTCAGCAGTCTCGACCAACTGTCCGATGACCTTCTCGTCGTAAATCGATGGCTCAACAAGAACCGAAGCAGGCACGCAGTTGGCCATAAAAGAAACCAAGCACTCGGACGCCGAAATGCGAATGTTCTTGGCCTCAGACTCAAGATAAGAAGCCACCAAGTTGAAAGGGTCCAAAAGCCCCTGGAACGTCTCCTCCGGCTCAACCTGGGCCGAAACGTCGTACGCTCTCGAGAGAATGGCGATCCACGCGGGAAGAAGCTGGGTATCGTTTGGTGCTGGGCGCAACTCCTTGATGATCTCCAATAATCTCGGCAGCTTCGACGAAGCCACATCCTCAGCCATCCCCTCAAAAATCATCTCGAAGATGTCAAACACCGCCATGCTCATGTGCTCGTTTCCGGAGCGGGCGATGCCAAGCAACAGCTCGCAAAGCGACTCAATCTTCTTGCTCGGCCATCCACCACTAGCCGAAGCAACAGACTTGACCAACTGCAAAGCGTGAATAAGCTCGGGATCAGTCGAAGACTCGGATCCTTTCTTCTCCTTCTTCAACTGAGCGGCCTTCTCAGCCACAGCCTTCAGGCTCATCATGGCAGTCTCGGCGCACATTGGCGCAACAGGGTGGTCGAGCGACGGGCTAGGAGGAGGACTCCTAAGAATCTTGCGCAGGGCCTCCTGGCCTCTCTTGCGCACCTTCGGCCGAGGGTCAAGCGAAAAGCTCAAGAGACCGCCGACAGCCCGGCGGGGGCCCATGACGGCGGCGCTCTGCTCCCAAGCAACGGCATCCTGAGCAAGCAGCAGACTCTCAAGAACACCAATCGAGGCTCTGACTAACGGGGCATCGGCATCGGGTTGCGACAGGACTGGTGCCAACAGTTCGAGGATCTGGGTGAACTTGGCGCGGAGGAGGGGCTCGGGCGCGTAGGGGGTGACAATGTCGAGGAGGTAGATGACGGGTTGGGCGAGCGTTTTGTTGTCGAGAAGACTGAGCAGGGCAGCGAAGTAAGCCGTTGGTGTGGGTTGTGTGTTTTGTTCCTTGAAGGCGGCCTCGACACCTTCGAGAATGCTGGCGGTCTGCGGATCATGGTCAGTATTCCGTTCGCAGTCCCTTATCAGTCCCCAGCTCTGCAAGAAGCTGTTCAAGACAAGACTGGTTAGTGAATAAAACCTACCTGCTTCTGACTCTGCAGATTTGGCGACCGGATCTTGTCTAGTTTCTCCGTCAACGTAAGAGAGGCCATTTTGACGGTTTCTGAGGTCGTCAATGGCATGCAAGTCCGGGGTTCTCCAAGTCAAACTCGAGAAATTTCAGACCAATTCAAAAAAGTTGGGTGTTATCGGTTATCGCAGCGACCCCACCATTTTTGTGCGCGGATAAGGGTTAATCGTGAGCTTTACCTTCACCAGGGTTATGTATGTCTGTCTGACAGGCCAGGAAGGTTCTCACTCATTGCTCTGTAAAACAAAATCTCTATCAAATTCACCGTGGCTACCAGTAATCTCATCAGTGTATCATGTACTCGAAAGGTTCCCGCCCTTCTCCCACGAAGCAGCAGCAAATATACCACCATCCACCCCAAACGCCACAATAAACCCCAATCACCATTTCATCATCCTCCTCTCTACGAGAACTCGTTATCCGCCTCCTCAATCTGGTTCTTGATCTTGACCAACAACTCTGTCTTCCACTTGTCCAACCGGCTCATCTGATCGTACACATAGAGCTCATCCGTAAACACCTCCTGGTTGCCCGCCTCAACAGCCTCAATCAGGGCCGACAGGAGCTTAAACTCACGCTGCCCACCAAACGACGGGTCCTTTTCCCTGTACCTCTCGATATTGCGGCGCGCACTAACCAAGTCCTTGGTCGCCAAAATGCAAATCCCCGCCTTGAAGAAGTACTCCTTGACCGAGTACTTCATCAAGTGGTTATCAAGCGACGAATCAGCCACCTTTTCAAAGTTCTGAATCGCCCTGTGATAATCCCCTTCCAAAGCAGCAATATCCGCCACCTTGAGCCAGAGCTTGTTGGCCAGCCTGTCATCCACGTTAGCATCAACCCATAAAGTGCTTGAATTCCAGAAACCTACGCATTCGCCCCATCTCCCTCATACCACTGTGCAGCCTTCTCATAACTCTCCATCGCCCTCCTCCGATCCCCCAACTCCTCCTCCAGAACCTCCCCTTCGTTCTCCTTGTGACTCGCCGCCCGTCTAAAGTTTCCTTTCTGCGTGTACCGATCAATCGCCACACCCAAGCACCGGACCGCGTCCTCGGGGTTGTCTTTTCTATAGACCTTGAAGGCGTCCACCATAATGTTGGCCGCGTCGTCGGGTTCGTTCAGCCTGTCTCTGTGGATCTTGGCCGCTTGCTCAAATGCGGTGCCTGCTTCCTTGTCTGTTCCATGTCAGTCCCATCGTTTCCACAGCGACGGAAAGGGGAACGCACTCTTCCCCTCCATCTTGTAAGCATTTCCCGCCTGGACAAACAGCTCCGCCGCATTCTGGAGCTTGTCCTCCTTGCTCCCGCTGAAGAAGCTGAAGCCGCCCGAGGCGCCCGCGAGGGTCTTCTTCGCCTGTTTTGTGTAATCCGTATCAGCGGTGCCCTCTCTTATGCCCAACGTGTCCAACTGTAGAACGCACCTTCTCCTCCAACGCGCGCGGATCGAGAGCCATGTTGTGTTATTGTATTTCCCCCCTTTTGTTGGTATTTATCGTCTGGCGGTATCGATTTCGTGCTGTCGTCGTCGTCGTCGTCGTCGCAAATTTTCAATTTCTGCTCGGGCTTTGATAGACAAGAATGGTTGCGCAGGAGTGTGAGCTGTAGTGTGTGTAGGTCGGTAAGGCGGGGCCAAGTGGCGGTAGGCCAACAACGGCCGGGCCTAAAAAAGGGAGCTATGACGCCAGCCTACCCTATACCAATCCAGCTAGCTCCTACCCGCAATTAGTTAGCCCATGCGCTCAATTGATTTCACAGCTCACTTCTTCACTCTCAAAACTCCAAACTCGTCATCACGACACGCGGCCGAAAGGTTCACTTATCCAAGCTCCCATATTTTCTCACAAACCCGAAATTTGGCAACAACAATTTCTCAGCAACCCATCTGTCCAATTCTTCAAACCACTCACCAAGACACACACCACCATGATCAAACCTCACCACCTCCTCCGGCAACCCCTCCGCCAAATCCGCCCCCTATCTCACCCCCCTTCAGCCTTTTCAACAACCTCCTCCCCCCCCCTACCCCAAAAACCCACCGCCATAAACCCCTCTCACACCCCAGTCGACCCTGACAACCTCCTCTCAAACCCAACCTGGTCCATCACCTCCCTCCTCCCCTCTTCCCCCTCACCCTCACCATCAACACCATCAATAACCCCACACCAACTCTCCCACCTCCTCAAACTCTCCGCCCTTCCTCCCCCCTCACCAACCTCCCCAGAACCTCACAACAACAACAACAACAACAACAACAACAACAACAACAACAACAACAACAACTCCAAAATCCTCTCCGACCTCCACTCCCAGCTCCACTTCCTCGCCCACCTCCAATCAGTCAACACATCCAACGTCGAACCCCTATCCTCTATCCGTGACGAGACCCCAGAAGGCCTCGCCGAATCGGCAATCACAGTCGACACACTCAAGGAAGCCCTCGACAACGAGGAACGGGTGGGCAAGTGGAAGCGGCCGAGGAGGAGGAGGACGGTTGACGCTACTACCAAAGAGCAGAGAGACGTCGAGAAGTGGGATGTGCTGGGAACCGCCTCCGAAAAGGTCATCGTGGGAGGAGGGGGCTACTTTGTCGTGAGGAGTGGCATGGCCGTTGCGGCAGAGTGAGGTTGGCACTAGTCAGAAAGAGCTACTACCGAGAGAACCCATGAGCATGAAAGAAAAAAAGGTGGAAACTATCACAACAAGTCACAACGACCACCACCGACGCACCATCACCACATATAAAGCAAACATTGCATTGTACTAACATCAAAGCGTTGGTCTCACATAGAGAACGCCCTTCCCCAACTGAAACAACCCAGGCTAATTCAACATACATCAGTTAACACGTTCCCAGCCATGCATAACCCGGCTGCCATAATTCATAACCATGGCTTCGTCCTGTAAGGTGGCAATCTGGCGCCTGAATATCGCCTCGTGACCATAGTCTTTCATCCCCCAATAAAAAAAAAGAAAAAAAAATCAACACAATGGTAGCGATTCCCTGTGCAGATACTCGGTATCAAATCCCTCCAAAACTTCATTTCCTGCCCTTCTTCTTCCTCATGCGGGTACGAATAATACCTTGCTCGGGACCCTTGTTCGTTGTATCCGTCAAGGTGTTCAGGGTCTTGAAAGGGTCCGGCCTGCCCGTCTCAACAGCAGCCCGTCTCGCCTCGTGCTGCCGGAGCTTCTCCTCCCAAATCGACATGGCGTGCTCCTGCTGGGTGGCCTGTTCCTTGTCGACGTCCTCCCAGCCGATGTGATGCAGAATGGTGCCGGCGAGGTATGGGTATCTGAGGTGGCTACTGACCTTAGCAGAGACATCCAATTGCTCGATACTTTCAACCCCGGCGATTCGCTCCAAACCTGCAACTCCATACTCGACACTGCACTGACGGCAGAGGAAGCCCAGGATGTAGTCGTTCTCCGAGTACACATTGACCATGCGACCCGTCACCACACTTCTCATGGCGACCCAGATGGCCGTCTCCGAAGGCGCCGGAAGGCCCATGACCACCACGTTCTCCACCAAACCAAACGCCCGTCGCTCGGCCAAAATGGCCATACAGGTGTAAATGGCGCGGGCACCGAGGCTGTACCCGACCAGCGAGACACCACGCTCACCGGGCGCCTTGCTTGAGATGATATCAGCAAGAATAGAACCCAGCTTGTCGGCGCGGACCATGCAGGTGTTCCAGGGGTTGTCGACAATCTTGCTGAGCTTTAGAAGAGAGGCCGGCCAACGGGCGTCGATCAGACTAGTATAAACTGGCCCGTGGCGGTCAGCACTCTTCGCAGGGTCAGGCTGAAGGAGCTTGGAACTGGGCTCACTAGACCGAGCAATGATTTCCTTCTTGGCGATGGACCACGCGGCGCTCTTGACCATGGTCTCGAGCGCCGTGTTCAGCTTGACCAGGTTGTCGAGCTCCCAACGAACCACATACACCTCATTCTGCTCCCCCAAGCATCTCCAGGGGCGGAAGATGTCCGTCTTGTTGGGCAGCCAGGCACCGACTCCCAACACGACTCGAATCCGGCGATGATCTGGAACAATCTCGCTAATTTTGAAACACTCCTCGTTGACAATGCCGCGAAGAGGAATAAAGCCGGCGTCACTAACGTCTTTGGCGTGTTGTTCCATAGTTTTACCGCCAGCTCGACAAGGGCACATACCGAGAACGTTTCCGACAACGAGGCCACTCTCAGCCATCGTGCCAAGAAAGCCCGCGGCTGTGGTGCTCCCAACCCCCATACCACCAGTGACTGAACCGATGCTGGCAGCAATCAGCGGAGCTGCGAGATTGCCGCTGGGCACAAAGTGAGCGCCCGCCGGGCCGGCTCGTCTCCGAGAAGACTTGTTCTCCTCCGTCCTCTTCAAAGCCACCTCTTCAAATGACACCGTCTTGGCAAGGTCAGCGAAGGCCTTGCTAATTCTCACCTCTTCCTCGGTCAAGACACGCAGTGGTAAGCGAAGGGACGAGGTGATGTTGAGCATCAAGATGCGGGTGTAGGCGTTGTAGCTCTCAAGCGAGAGCAGCAAAAGCATGAGGCAATGAAGCAAGAGACATCTCTTGCCTGCCGGGAGAGTCGAAAGCGCTGTTGCAATGGGCGGGTACAGTTGCCAGAAGGCAGGATCGGCTTCCACGGTGATGGGTGTGACGTTGATCATGGTAGCCGGCTGCGAGTCTGCCACATGGTCAGGACGTCCAACTGGGACCCAGCCGTCGGCCTGGGTCTGGAACTTACTGTTTGCCCTCTTTTTCTTATAGGACGACGAGCCTCTCTTGGGCCCATACCCATACTGATTGCCGTAGTCGTTCGCCTTTCGGATCGAAATGTCGCCAGAACGCTTGAGCACAGCCGTCTGCCAGCGCTTGAAGTGCATCAGCGCCTCCTTCTTGAGCTCCTGTTGGCGAGGACGGAGTGGCACGTCAGGCTCCCTCTGGGCTGGGGCTGGAGGGGCGTCCGAGGAGGTGCTATTGTCAGTTCTTCTGCCATTGGACCGACCTCCCTTCTTAGAGCGCGATGGCTTGACATTCTCCTGCTTCTCTGGGGCCTTTCTGGGCTGCTCTTCGACCGGCTTGGTCAAGCTGAGGTCTCTGAGATAGGGGGGAAGCTTGTTCCAGACCGTGATGCGGACGGGCAGGGGGTTGCTCTCGGGTGGAAACACATCAAACAACTGGGTTGTCTGCTTCTGCATCATGTCGGTCAGTCTATTAATGAGCGAGCTGACTTCGACCTTTTCGGCATGGTTGAGAAGGGAGGAGAAGTCGGCCTCCCGCCTGGGAGTGTTGGGCCGGGGCCGGCCACTGGGTGGCATTTCCTCTGTAGCTGCGGTACTGGTAACGGACGCCCCGTCTTCAGTGGGTTGGGGCTGGACCTGGACCTGGGCCTGGGGATGCGGATGGGGGTGGGGATGGGGATGCTGTGATACTGTTGGGACGTCTTCTTCGTTTTCGGACGACTGGTCGTGCACCTCCAGGAGGTCAAAGAGGGTTTTAGCCATGATGAGGACGGGAAGGAGGGGTTCTGCTGGAGGAAGGATGGTGCTGGATGCCTGGCTGTCCAAGGAAGGCGTGATGCTGCCGCAGCAAGATGTGTTCTCTCCGAAGGAAGGTGTCGGCTTCTCTTGAAGGGGAAGGAGTGCCTCTTATGATGGAAGGAAGGGGTGTCGTCACAAAAGAAGGTGTGTTCTTGATAAAGGAAGGTGTGATGTTGTCGTCTCTTGGAGGTGAGGTTGCTGTTACTCTGAGTGTGACTTCCTGTTTCGAGGGGGGCCCGTCGCAAAGCAGCGAGCTCAAGAGGCAGTCGCGAGGGAGGACTGAGAAGGCGGCGACTCGGGAGTCGGGCACCCAACCAACCTCACCGGGCTTCTGGATCTGAATCTGGAGATGGAAAAGGAAATGGCGATGCGACGATGTGAGCCCGATTAGGACAGGTTCAGTTTTCAGTTTCTGTTTCTGTTTGCGCGATCGGGATGCCGCTTCCCTCCTGCTGTGATACTTGAGCTCTGATTTGACGTCACCAGCGCCTGTCCTGGACTGTGTGGGTTGCTGCAGGAGGAAGCCTCTTCTTGTTGAAAAAGAGAAGAATGAAGCAGCAGAAGAGGTCGCAGAAGTCGCAGAAGTCGCAAGTGGCCGGCAAAGAAATCCTTTGGTCAACAGGCTGCGACGAGGGGGAGGGTGAAAGCGAACTGTCTCGGCAGTAAGTGTTCAATGCCCCGCCTGCTTCTTGAACATGTCTTGTGAAAGCAGTCCCTCTCTGTGTATCAACCAGTTGAACGAGCCGGCCTTCAGAAGTGAGTTCGGTGCGACATCATTGAAGCTGGCGGGCATGATCCTCGCCGTCGCCGCGTGCTCCCGCCTGGTTGGGGTATCTCGCTCTGGCTGCCGGCTGTTAATTTCCAGGGCATATCGACCGCAGCTGGCATCTCCTCTCTGGCAGATGCTGGGGACTGGTATCCCCTCAAAGATTGGGATGAAAATGGGTTTGCGTGAAGGAAACTGGGAGAGGTTTGGGAGACACCGCCAAGAAGAAGTCGAAGGACAGTTGCCGCCAGGTATTCCAGGCCCATCACATTTATTGTATTCTGGAACGACTCTATTTTGCTGCTCTTCCAGTAATAAGAATCCAGGCTGCTACAGTTCGCTCTTGCCGGTTGAGGTTCAAGCCTACTCATCCCATCACATCACCCTGCTATGTATACTACTGCGGTGTTGAGTCGAATGCAAGGCACCCGACATACCTAGGTACAAACAAAACATTCATTGACATATTATTAAAGGACCCTGAAAACCGGCACTCAACCCCATTGGTTACATCGCATAAGCCTGCCTCCTCTATTCCCCCATACCCATCCCAGCTCTTGTCAGGGGTCTATCAATCAATATCGACCGTTTGAAAGGATGGGTCAGCTCCTCTCAGATTGGAAGTTCGGGACCGGGTCGATGTTCCGCTGCAAGCCCAGCCGGGGGAGCCAGGGTCCAAGACAAGCTTCCAGAACGAAACCCCAGATTTTTGTTTCGGGATCGACGCCCCACATCTCTCGCTGGCTGACGTCTGTGCGCCACAACCACAACCACAGACCACACATGCCGTGCCGTGGGGCTCTCTTTCTGACCCAGCCATAGCCTGATTCTTAAGCAGAACATCATCACTCCACCCAACTTTTTGAGCATCAATCACAGGCCATATCGCTCTGTGTCTCTGTCTCGATACCCAAGCAACTTGCGTCTGTTTCCGCTTTGACTGTGTCACTCTACAGGTCTAGCTTTGTGTCACAGCCCAACACAACCCCGCACTGTCGATATCCCGCGAGATTCTCTCTCCCTCGACTTCTGGCCAAGCACCTCGACGACTGACTGCCCTCTCTACGCCCCATATCAAAGCCAGAATGTCCTCCAACGATACCCCCTCCCACCCAACAACCCAACAGCACCAACGCGAACCCAGAACAGGCACCATATCAACCACCCAAACAATCATCACAACCTCAACCTCCCCCCCACAAGCCATCCTCCGCCTCCGTGGTGCCCACGCCCCCAGTTCACGAACGGTGCAATGGTCAGAAGACGTCATAGACAATGAAGGTCTGAACCGCAAGAAGTCAAAAGGTATCTATTCCCTCCTCTCCCTTTCCCCTTCCCCTTTCTCCAAGCTAAACCCCACCAGTATGCTGCATCTACCACCGCCCCAAAGGCGTCGACGAATCCTCCTCCGAATCCTCCTCCTCTGACTCTTCCGACTCCGACTCGGATTCCGATGGTGGAAAGGGTGACCTCGACCGACAAGGGAAATCAGATGGTGGGAGAAGACGTGTTCACAATCACAACGACGACGACAAGTGCAACGGACATCATCATCATCATCACAGCAGGGGAAGGAAAAAGAACGGGGACGAGGGGGGGAGTAAAAGAAGAAAGAGAAAGCCGAGCCCGAATGCGTATGAGAAGATGCCTGATTATGGGATTAAACCGCCTGGAAAGGGGAAGGATAAGGACACTTCTGGAGATGGGGGGCCGATGAAGGCTTAGTCCGGGGTGTTGTATATGCCGGTGTTTGGAAGGGGGGTGGGTTGTTCTGTGTAGGAATAGGGGGACGTTGGGGGAGTATGATACCATTTATTTTTTCGATACCTTGAGGGGAGGTTTACGCATTGGGTTGGTTGCATAGAGCAAGCATGTAGCCAGGCATCTTCACACACATGGAAATCAACCATGCATGGTTTTTCCTTTTGTTAGCGATGTTCCATTTCTTTCATTTTAAACATCCTGGACTCAATGTGATTTACCTCATGCTGAGAAACTATGTAGATGACGAT